TCTGACTCCTGGGTTTTTGTAGATTTCAGTTAAATACCGGACACGTCACATCCTTGCACGTCCTCCAAGCACCAAGACAAATGTGTTGAGATATACTATTAACCATGCGGTTTAGACATAGTATTATATTTTATTCTTTATGAAACAATTGTTTATTTAATTTATTCAATTCAATAAAGCACTATTTTAAATAGATCATTTGTAACATGTGTGTCCTTTTGATTATGTAGTAGACAATTTAGTGTATGGAGTCTTAGCTCATACACAGAAGATTAAATTGTTGGTTCTCATAATTAATAAACTATGTTCACAATCAAAGATATTATCGGACAAAATATCTTGATGATCGTAGCACAAGATTATTGTATAATTTGTCTTGATTATGGGAGTAAGTCTATTCCAACTTCTTGTGCTAGTATACTCAGTGTATATTGAACGGACCAAGTAGAGAAAAGGTATTTTTGTACTGAATACATATAAAACACTTTCTCTAATTCATTAAATGAGCTTATGCTCCTAATCTTGATATAATTATTATGATCAATATAATATGTGTACATTTTGGTCTTGTACGTAGATGATTTTGCTCATAGGAAACAATGTGAGCATGTTGAATTCAGTAAAGGAATGGTTGTCCTCACGTTTCGATATGAAAGACTTGGGACAGGCAGCACATATCCTTGGGATCAAGCTTATGCGAGATCGCAAGCAAAGGATAATAGGCTTGTCCCAAGCACTTTATATTGATACTATTCTCACCAGGTTTAGCATGCAAGATTCCAAGAAAGGGTTTCTCCCCTTTAGACATGGAATTTCTCTGTCAAGAGATCAGTCCCCAAAAACGACTGATGAGATAGAAAAGATGAAGGCGGTCCCTTATGCTTCTGCTGTAGGGAGTCTTATGTATGCAATGCTATGTACTAGACCTGATATTTGCTTTGCCGTTGGCATGGTTAGCAGATTTCAGTCTAACCCTGGTCGAGAACACTGGACTGCTGTTAAGCATATAATCAAGTACCTGAAAAGAACTAGGGATTATATGTTGGTGTATCACTCAGGTGATCTTGCACCCATTGGCTATACTGATTCAGATTTCCAGTCAGATAGAGACTCTAGAAAATCTACCTCAGGATATGTTTTTACTTTGGGAGGTGGAGCCATAAGTTGGAGGAGCATCAAGCAATCGCGTGTTGCTGATTCCACCATGGAAGCCGAATATGTGGCTGCATCTGAAGCAGCCAAGGAGGCTGTTTGGCTCAGGAACTTTTTGAAAGAGCTTAATGTGGTTCCTTCGGTTTAAGCACCAATTGTACTTTATTGTGACAATAGTTGTGCAGTTGCAAACTCGAAGGAATCAAGAATCCATAAAAGAAGTAAGCATATTGAGCGTAAATATCACTTAATTCGGGACATAACACAAAGAGGTGATACAAGAGTGTTGAAGATTGCGTCGGAGGATAATTTGGCAGACCCGTTTACAAAGAGCTTGACACAGAAGATTTTTGACAAGCATGTAGAAGGAATGGGTGCTAAAATATTAGACGCATGGTTATGAGTCTAAGTGGGATATTGTTGGGATATACTATTAACCATGCGGTTTAGACATAGTATTATATTTTGTTCTTTATGAAACAATTATTTATTTAATTTATTCAATTCAATAAAGCACCGTTTTAAATAGATCATTTGTAACATGTGTGTCCTTTTAATTATGTAGTAGACAATTTAGTGTATAGAGTCTTAGCTCGCGCACAGAAGATTAAATTGTTGGTTCTCATAATTAATAAACTATGTTCACAATCGAAGATATTATCGGACAAAATATCTTGATGATTGTAGCACAAGATTATTGTATAATTTGTCTTGATTATGGGAGTAGGTTTACTCCAACTTCTTGTGCTAGTATACTCAGTGTATATTGAACGGACCAAGTAGAGAAAAGGTATTTTTGTACTGAATACATATAAAACATTTTCTCTAATTCATTAAATGAGCTTATACTCCTAATCTTGATATAATTATTATGATCAATGTAATTTGTTTATTGTTTTGATTTATCAAAAGGCACGACTCTATTTAGAGTTAGTATATGCCTAATAAATTGGACAATAACAAATAACATTTGTGAATAATAATTAGTTGATAGAATCCATGACTTGGTTTTTGGGTTTGATAATACCCCTTTATATAAGCTTATAAGTTTTCATGTGAAAACCCGGCCGGTGGATTTTGTATCCGTCACATGAGATGGTTTAAGCGGAATTATAAAGGATTTAATTAGTTAATTGAATTAAATTTTCAGTGATTTAATTTAATTAACTGGTATTTGAAATCTTAACATGGGGAGTTAAAATAAGTGTTGATGAATTTTTTGAAATTCATATTGAGGAGTTCAATTGCAGTTTTTTAGTGGAATAAATTGCAATTAATTATAGTAGGATCTAATTCTTGCCTACTTCGAATTAGTACTATAATTAGTAGCCTCTTATTATTTCTGTGGTCCCTACTATACCTAGTAATAACCTGGACAAACTTGGGTAAAAAGTAGCTTGGGAGAAAAGTTACCTTTTTGAGTTGGAGTAGGATTCTACTTATGGAATCCTACTCCACACGTTTTTTTAGCCTATTTTTAGGGCTTAATTTCGTGTATAAAAAGGAGACAGGTTTCTCCTGTTAACTACCCCAGAGTTGTATTGTTCTTGCCCACCCAAAAGCAAAAGTGTTCAAGGTTTTACTAGGCATATAGCAGAAGACTTCAGCCCTGGATTCTTGCTGCTTGGAGAATTTGTGCAACTATTTCAAGAGGTTAGTGTTCCTGATCTCGTTATTATCGCGTTGTCTAATTTACATGTAATTGATGCCTGATTGTATGCTTGCTTCCGCTTCGCATGTTCTAACAAAATGACCTTGAGATATAGTTGGAGAAATCTAACGATCATGTGGCCATACGCTTGGTCAATGATGCAATTGCACTTGCAGTGTTTCAATGCCATCAATTGGTAATTTTGCTCATTCTCTTTGTTTTCTGACTTCGAAGTACTGATATGTTCTAAGTGCTTCTCCATTCAATGGCAAAGCTTAGTGGTTAGTATGTATACGGGTAAAGTCGGGCTTGCCCGATTTTGCCATTATTTCGAGATCCGAGAACTGCATCGAGGGTCAGCCTCGTAATGGACCAGGTCTGAGCACAAAGAGAAGGTACCGAGTTCTGAGATCGAGGCACCCATCAAAATCGAGGTCCCCGACGACCGAGACCAGATATGATCAGCTTCGAGCCGAGCGTAATAACGGGAAGGCAAAATATCCGTAACGGGTTGGAGATCACGGCGAAAATCTCGGAACGGATCAAATCAAGGGCGGTTATTTGTATCAATCATGGGATTTACTTCCGTAATTAGAATTGTACCACAATTAGGATTCCTCTTGTATATAAAGAGGGGTCCCCATCAATTGTAGACACCTTAAATTCATACAGATCAAGACAATATAATATTTCTCTATTGTTCATCAACTTATTGTTCTTTAACTATTCTTACTTTGCTACTCTCGAGGGTTCATTAGCTCAAGGACACTGTCCAAACATCGGTTTGTTCTATATTCTTGACAATTCCCATCACTTATCTCTAAATCAATCAATCAATTGGTATTAAGTGAAATCACGTATCCTTAAACCACATTACAAGTTTAATTGTTATTCGATTTTTAGAGTAAATAGTTTGGCGCCCACCGTGGGGCTAAGGATAATAGTGATTGCTTAATATTTTAACAACCATCATAACACACACTACTTTTAGGCTTGTTATTGTGAGTATTTTTTATTTCAGGAATCAAACTGACACCGGCATTGGTCTTCATGGCGAAAACGAACACGTAGTCTCCGCGGGAAACGGAGAACCTCCAATCAATCGCGACGCGCCACAGGCCGTGGATCCGGTTGATGTCAATTCTCATGTCGCCATTCAGGGAGATTTAGGCGCCGACCCTGAAGTTAGCGTCCGCAGAGACGCCCAAGCAGCCTATCGAAACACACGAAATGGCGAAAGAGACAGAATTAGCCTTCGAATGATATTTGACATGCTACAAACTCAGCAGGTCGCGATAGCGCAACTCCAAAATCAGAATCGAGCCCCAAGCAGAATCGAACTCGATACATCACAGGAATGTTGCTCATAGGGTCGAACCCGTGCAGAAAAAATTGAACGATAATGGATCGGGAACTGATCCCGCCATCATGAAAATGCTCGAGGAGCTCACTAAACGGACAGAATCAGGTGAAAATAAAATCGAGGCTAATGACAAAAAGGTAGAAACGTAAAACTCACGAGTTGACCAAATACCGGGGGCACCCCCGATCCTATAGGGTTTGGATTTGAAGAAGTTCGTGCAGAAGTCTTTTCCTCAAAGTGCAGCTCCGAAGCCCTTTGTAAGCACGTGATTTTTGCCCTATACGAAATACTCCTATAAAATCCCATGAAAATATATTTTTGTTAACTATCGGCCTTTTTAAAATTTTTTGTAGAATTTTATTTAATTGTTTGCATTTTGTGCATATTTGAGTTTTATCATGCATGACATTTAGGCTTTAGTTTTACATTCTAGGATCAATCGGTAGTTACTTATTTTATATAAATTGAAAATCACCAAAAAGTACTTCATTTTTACACTTTTTCCTTTTATTGATTTTCTCTCTTTTAATTTAGGATTAAATAGCTTTTATAATTTTTTTAATTAGTTTAATTTCACATTTTTAGATAACCTAGGATTTTTATTTTTAGGATTTTTAATTAAAGAAAAAGAAAAACAAAGATAAGAAAAAGAATTTGAAGAAAAAAAATTTATTTGGATATTGAGCTAGTTCTTGTACCCAAATTAGACCCAAATTTTCTTACCTAGCCCATAATTCTCAAGCCCATAATTCATAGACCCCATACCCCTAACCTAATCCCTAACCTGTATAATGGTACCTTATCCCTAAATAAACCTACACATTATCAGATTTGGCCATATTCTTGGAGAACCCTTAGAAAATACAGAGCAGCGGCGCTCTCATTCTTCTGAACAGAGAGGAGCGAAAATCTGCTCCAAAAATCAAGCTTCTATTCCCTCTTCTTCTCTACTCCTTCACTCACACTCACATGACCTCCCAATAAAAAAGAGCTTGAAATCCGAAAAATCTGAGATTCGGAAACCAAATGGGAAGAAGTCTGAAACGGAGAAGGAAAAACAGTAGATTTCTGGGTGGATTTTAAATCCAAAATAATTTGAGAGTTGTCGCTGCTTCGAAGCCATAATTTCATTTGTGTTTCTGGATTTTTAAAGTGGATTCAATGGTGATTTACTGTTTGTTAGTCGTTGTTTTTTCAATCGGAAAGCTGTGTTGATTTCCGCTGCATTATCCTCTCAATTTCTGGTTTGTTCGAGTTGTATGTCGGACCCGAGGTGTGAAGCTATGTGCTGTTGGTTCTGCTTATGCTGGGCTCCAAGCTATTGATTCCGAACATGTATTAGACCTCCTTGTCTTCCAAATATGGTTTCAGCTAATAGGTATGATTATACAGTTTTTTTTTTTTGTTCATTGAATCGTGAATGGGATTTGGGTTGGTACGTTTCTACCTAATTTTGAGATTCCATGTGTTTAATCATATAAACTAATTAGAATTTCTCCCTCTGTTAATTTCCAATTTTGAAAGCATGTCAGTGGGTGAATTAAATATTGGCTTGGTTGCATTGTTTGAATCTGGTATAGGCTCGGTGGAGTCCTCTTATATTGAAAGTTGATGGTTCATTTGCTCACATGAGTAGTTCAATTATTTTGCTGAGATTTGTGATTGAGATCCCTAGTGTTAGTGAATGCTCTTGCCAGATATATGTTCAGAACTCAATTGGTTGCCAATAATATTATTCATTTTGTCACTTAGTCCTTCGGAAATAAAATACTCTCTCCAAAAGATAAGCAACTAATTGTCTCGACTCTCAAATTGGTTCCTAAGAAAAATAGGATAGTCATTGTAGGAAAAATAGTTGATGAATAATTAGATAACAGTTAAATGCTCTTATTTTGGCATATCCTAATGCTTTGGTAAGTACTTGACGCTATCAGTTGTTACCAACTTGCTGTTGCAAGATCCTTATTTGCTTATTTGCCTTTGATTTGGATTTGTCTATGAGCAGGTAATTTGTTTTCAGGCATGGCAAATTGAAATAAGACTTCTTGTCTACTTTATTCCTTAAATCTCTATACCAATTACAATGGCGCGGTCGCAAGTGAGTTTCTGATGGACTCCCAGCATACAATAATCTTAAAGTAGACTTAGAAAGATTAGATAATGAACCTCCGTAGATTGCTTTAATTGAGTACAGATCATTTAAAATATTTTGAGGTGTGCCATGCCAAACAAAAATGACAATTGCATGGCCCTCACTTAATTAATTTTGATTTAATCCTTAGAATTCGAGGCGTGCCATTTAGCAAATTTTCATGGCCCTCGCAAAGTTAAAAACGCGTAGTTGCTTTAGGCGCGTTATTTTAATAATATTACTTTCCTAAACTCGGGTGTGCATTTCATGTGACCAAATTCAAATCCTAATAACGTTGAATAAAATGTGTTTCGGATTGCGGGTGCATTTCATGTGACGCGGTCCAAAGACATGTTTTAGACAACGATAAATCTTCTTTAAAATTAATACAAAAGCGGTTAATAATTCTAAAATCATACCATAGGCTAAAACATGTATCAAAATCAGATAATAGGCCAATTGTAATAGTTTGAGCGACCGTGCTAGAACCACGGAATCCGGGGGTGCATAACACCTTCCCCGGGTTAACAGAATTCCCTATTCAGAATTTCTGGTTCGCAGACTTCACAAGGAAAGTCGAATTTTCCCCGATTTGGGATTTAAAATAAACTGGTGACTTGGGACACCAAAAAACAAACCATCCCAAGTGGCGACTTTGAACAAAAAATGAATAAATAATCCCATTTCGAATAATGTCACTTAAAGTAGAAAAACTCCCTTATACATTATCCTTCGAGGTAGGTGTGTAAAAAAGGAGGTGTGACACTCTTCCTAAGAAGTTCCGTATGACAGATATCCCCAAGTACAACGGGACCACCGATCCTAATGAACACATCACTTCGTACACATGCGAAATAAAGGAAAATGACTTAGAAGATGATGAGATTGAATCAGTTTTGTTAAAAAATTTTGGAGAAACTTTATCAAAGGGGGCAATGATATGGTACTACAATTTGCCGCCCAATTCCATCGATTCTTTCGCCATGCTCGCTGATTCGTTCGTAAAGGCGCACGCCGGAGCAATAAAGGTCACGACCAGGAAGTTGGACCTCTTCAAAGTGAGACAGAAGGACAATGAAATGCTAAGGGAGTTCGTATCTCGATTTCAGATGGAACGCATGGACCTACCCCCGGTTACGATGATTGGGTTGTCCAAGCCTTTACTCAGGCTTTGAGCGAGCAAAGTTCGATAGCATCACGTCAACTAAAGAAAAATTTGATTGAATATCTAGTAGTGACCTGGGCCGATGTGCATAATCGATACTAATCAAAGATCAGGGTCGAGGATGATCAGTTGGGAGCTCCATACGGTTTCGTTTACCCAAACAGGTCTGAAGATAGGATTCATAGGGACATCGACAGAGAGCCACGATCGAATAGATATCGATACCAACCATATAGCGCAGATCGAAGAAACAACGGACCAGGATGTAGTCCCGTTCGAAATGATGGAAGGAATGATCGAGGTCAAAATTCTCGAGGGCTCATGAGTAAGAATGGCTTCGATAAAAACGTCGAGCCTAAGGAAGCACCACGGTTATCGGAATACAACTTCAGCATCGATGCTTCAGGTATTGTGTCAGCCATTGGACGAATAAGGATACTAGATGGCCCCGACCCTTGTAAACTGATCCAGCTCAAAGGAATCCGAATCAAATTTGCAAGTACCATGGGAATCATGGTCACAGAACCAAGGACTACAGACAATTAAGGGAGGAGGTAGCTCGTTTATTCAACGAAGGTCATCTTCGAGTGTTCTTTAGTGATCGAGCAAAAAATCACTTCAGAGGTAGGGACGCAAACAGGAAGAAAGAACAGGAGGAACCGCAACACATGATTTTTATGATCGTCGGTGGGGTTGATATCCCTCAGGGTCTGACATTCAACCGCACCAAAGTCACAATCACAAGGGAGAAGCATACTCGGGACTACTTACCAGAAGATACCTTATCCTTCAATGATGAGGATGCAGAAGGGATTGAACAACCTCACAACGACGCACTGGTAATATCTATCCTTATGAATAAAATTCAAGTTAAACGTGTGTTAGTTGATCCAGGTAGCTCGGCAAATATTACTCGATCGAGGGTCATGGAGCAACTCGGCCTTCAGGATCAGATCATGCCTGCAGCTCGAGTGCCTAACGTTTTCAACATGGCGAGTGAAACAACCAAAGGGGAGATCATGTTGCCAGTAAACGTGGCCGGAACTATCCAGGAAACGAAGTTCCACGTGATCGAAGGAGATATGAGATACAATGCGCAACTCGGAAGACCTTGGATCCATAATATGAGGGCAGTACCTTCAACGCTTCATCAAGTCTTGAAATTCACAACACCGGAAGGAGTCAACACGGTGTACGACAAGCAACCAGGAGCTAAAGGGATGTTCGCAATTGATGAAGTAATACCGGTATCGGCACTAACATCGACAAAGGAACCAGAATCAAAGGAAAAATAGGATGTCAAATAGCAACCATAGTCGCCGGCATCGGAACAGCAGGAAATATCGAGGATGATGATTGTATGACACCTCGAACCTTCGCAACCCCAGATGATTCCGACGCCACAAAGTCGATGGCCGAAGAGCTGGAGCAAGTCATACTGATCGAGCATCTGCCCGATTAAAAGGTATACCTGGGCACGGGGTTAACTCCCGAGCTCAGGGAAAAACTCGTTAAATTCCTTATTAAAAATATAGATTGTTTTGCTTGGTCCCACCCTGACATGACAGGGACCCCACCGGAGATCACCACTCATTGATTGAGTTTAAACCCGAAGTTCAGACCGGTAAAGCAAAAGAGAAGGCCACGGTCCGAGGTAAATCAGGCACTCATCAAAGATGAGGTAACCAAACTTCTCAAAATAGGGTACATCGGGAAGTAAAATATCCCGAGTGGTTAGCAAGCGTAGTTGTAGTCCCCAATAAGGGGAATAAACTTAGAATGTGTGTAGACTACAAAGACTTAAACAAAGCATGCCCTAAGGACTCTTTTCCGCTGCCGAATATCGATCGCATGATCGATGCCTCGGCCGGCCACGAGATCCTCAACTTTCTCGATGCCCACTCCGGGTACAACCAAATACAAATGAACCTGGAGGATCAGGAAAAGACCTCATTTATCACTAAGTACGGTACTTATTGCTATAATGTAATGCCGTTTGGGCTAAAAATGATGGTGCTAATTATCAACGCCTAGTGAACCATATGTTCGAAGAAAAAATAGGTAAATCAATGGAGGTGTATATTAATGACATGCTAGTTAAGTTCCTACGCGAGAGGACCATTTGAAACATTTGCAGGAAACCTTCGACATATTGAGACAGTACAACATGAAGCTCAACCCCGTGAAGTATGCATTTGGGGTCGGTTCAGGTAAATTCCTCGGCTTTATGGTGTCAAATCGAGATCAACCCCGATAAAATAAAGGCATTCAAAGACATCACAGTCGTGGACAGTGTTAAGACCGTACAAAGGCTAACAGGACGGATAGCTGCTTTAGGCCGGTTCATCTCAAGATATTCTGATCGAAGCCACAAGTTCTTCTCACTTCTTATAAAGAAGAACAATTTTACTTGGACCCCGGAAAGGCACTGGAAGAATTAAAGCGGTACCTTTCGAGCCCGCCATTACTTCGTACTCCAAAAGCGGACGAGCAACTCTACTTATATTTGGCAGTCTCGGAGGTCGCGGTAAGTGGTGTCTTAGTCTGAGAAGAACAAGGTATGCAATTTCTTGTTTACTATGTTAGTCGGACTTTAGGTAAAGCAGAGACCCGGTACCCACACTTAGAAAAATTAGCGCTTGCTCTAATAAGCACCTCTAGGAAATTAAAACCATATTTTCAATGTCACCCAATTTGTGTTGTAACCACTTATCCCCTTGGCAACATTCTGTACAAGCCCGAGCTCTCGGGCCGACTAGCCAAATGGGCCGTGGACAGCCCCGAACGGTCATCAACTCTCAAATCTTAGCAGACTTCGTGGCCGACTTTGCACCAGCCCTCGTGCCCGAGGTCGAAAAGGAGCTATTTCTAAAATCGAGCACATCCTCGGGGGTGTGGACCCTTTTCAAAGACGGTGCTTTGAATGTGAAGGGGTTCGGGCTAGGCATCGTTTTGAAGCCACCCACAGGTAATACGATTAGACAATCTATCAAAACCCCTAAGTTGACTAACAATGAGGCCGAGTACGAGGCCATAATTACAGGTCTCGAGTTGGCTAAAAGTTTGGGAGCTGAGGTCATCGAGGCTAAGTGTGATTCTCAGATCGTGGTTAACCATGTCAACAAAACCTTCGAAGTTCGAGAAGATCGAATGCAAATGTACTTGGATAAATTGCAGGTAACCTTACACTGGTTCAAAGAATGGACCCTACAGAATGTACCTCGAGAACAGAATGGTGAGGCCGATGCCCTTGCAAACTTAGGTTCATCAGTCGAAGATGATGAAATTAGCTCGGGGATTGTAGTACAACTTTCAAAATCAATGGTCGAAGAAGGCCACGCCAAAATAAACTCCACAAGCCTAACTTGGGATTGGAGGAACAAATATATTGATTAACTCAAGAACGGAAAACTTCCCTCGGACTCTAAGGAATCGAGGACTCTTCGAACGAAAGTTGCACGATTTACATTGGCCGAAGATGGAACACTGTATAGAAGGATGTTCAATGGGCCGTTGGCAATATGCTTGGGTCCGGGACACACCGACTACGTCCTACGAGAAATTCACGAGGGCGCTTGCGGGAACCATTCCGGTGCCGAATCATTGGTTCACAAAGTCATCAGAGCAGGATATTATTGGGAACAGTATGGGAAAAGATACTAAGGAGTTCGTTCGAAAATGTAACAAATGCCAAAGGCATGCGCCAATGATACACCAACCCGGAGAGCAACTTCATTAAGTCCTATTCCCGTGGCCATTCATGAAATAGGGGATGGACATCATTGGTCCTCTGCCATCTGCCCTAGGTAAAGCTAAGTTCATTTTATTTATGACTGACTATTTCTCTAAATGGGTTGAAGCACAGGCTTTCGAGAAAGTCAGAGAGAAAGAAGTTATAGACTTCATCTGGGATCACATCGTATGCCGATTTGGGATATCCGCCGAGATAGTGTGCGACAATGGAAAACAGTTTATCGGCCGCAAAGTAACAAAGTTCCTTGAAGATCACAAAATAAAAAGGATATTATTGACGCTGTATCATCCCAGTGTGAACGGACAGGCTGAATCAACGAACAAGACCATCATTCAAAACCTAAAGGAAAGGTTGAACGAAGCTAAAGGGAAATGGAGAGAAATTTTGCCCAAAGTCCTTTGGTCATATCGGACAATGACAAAATCCAGTACGGGGGAAACACCGTTCTCCTTAATATATGGCGCCGAAGCTCTGATCCCAGTCGAAGTCAAGGAACCAAGCGTCAGGTTTTGATACACAACGGAAGAATCAAATCACGAGGCTATGAGCACAAGCCTCGAATTTTTAGACGAAAAATGGGAAGCCTCCCTCGTTCGAATGGCCGCCGAGAAATAGAAAGATATTATAATCGAAGAGCCAATCTTCGACACTTCAAAATAAGGGACTTAGTTCTGAGAAAAGTCACCCTCAACACCTGATATCCAAATGAGGGAAACTTGGCCCCAAATTGGGAAGGACCATATCAGGTCCTTGGTGTCATCGAAAAGGGATCTTACAAACTTGGCACGATGAACGGCGAACAACTGCCAAATAATTGGAACATATCACTCCTCAAAGGATACTATTGCTAAGTTATGACTCCATCCCTTTTCATTTATATTTAACACAAACCTATTACAGGTGTTCTATCGAAGACAGTGAGAAACTCTTCAACACAAAGACTTCAGGTTTTAAAGCACGTGTTGCACTCATTTTCCCTTAGATCGGTTTTTGTCCCAAATAGGTTTTCCGGCGAGGTTTTTAACGAGGCAACAATTATATGTGCTACCTGGGGACAATTCAACAGTATCCGAGGCTTCTTTACAATCAACCTCGGATACTAGGGAGCATCACCCTCGGATGTTATGTTTTCAAGAGAGATGCTTCGTGTCAACATGGTCTCGATAGAAAAACTTTACAAAGGGCCAAACGGTCAAACGAACCGTGCCCATGTAGATTGCTCGAGCCCTAACGACAAAACATGTACGCATGAATGATCTATTGAAAGAAGTACTTTTTCCTTATCAGATGTTCCATGCCTTAGTGAAATTTCTACTTTACAATTTCGTACTTATGATATTTTATTGAAACCTGCTCAAGAGCCAATCACAACTAAAGCTCGAGCAATTAACTCCGTACTCGGGGACTGTCGTTCGAAAATCGACACGCTCGGATTGTTAAAATTTGAAATCTTAAGACCTTAAAAAAGCAATGCTCGATTTTATGGGCCACGACCACCCCACTCTGGGACTAATACTTCAAACCAGTTTGAAGTATAATCGATAGACAAGCCCAATGGGCAAATATCAAGTTAAAGGTTGCGGCCAAACTAACACGGTTCGGAGACGTCCGAATTCCGTAATCAAACAGGCCTTCAAATATTTTAATAAAATAGGTTTAAAAAGGGCTACCTCGGCAAATTTACATAGGGTTTCGATAAAGTCGACCCTTGAAAACCTTAAGAGGTACCAAATTGAACAAACTTATGCTAAGGCATAAAAAAGTTTTTTGCCAACACTAAATCCTAATGGGTACAGATTTATCTCATGCTAAGGCTTAACAAATTAAACTTTTAAGCCGAAAAAGGGAAAAAACCACTATTTTGAGGCCATATAGGACCGATTAAAGAGCCTAAGGGCCATTACATTATTGAGCTTAAGGACTCACCCTCACTTAACCAAAACCCAAGGGTTTTTACCACTCCGAGTTCGAGCAAGTACTCACTCGATTATAGAAATTATAGCAATCTGATTTGAACAAAATTTTCACGGGGCAACGAAGTGAGTTAAATTCCTCACAAGGCCTAAAGTATATTGGAATTATCATAAGGCGAAAGAAAAATAAAGTTTTCACAAAACAAAAAATCAGAGTTAAATTGGATAGGATCTTTCATATATACGAGAATATTTACAAAGACCACTTAGGGTCTTACACAAAATTCCAAAAAGAAGAAAAAAATTCTAAGTGCCTAATCTTCCTAGGAGCTTCATCTTCACCTTCTCCGTTCTCAGACCTTCTCGCACTCTCGGAGTCATCATCATCAGAGAGCAAAGCTTCGGCTTTGGCTTCTAGCACTTTTGCATTCTCGATATCAGCCGTGAGGTCAAAGCCACGAGCATGAATCTCCTCGGGAGTCTCTCTCCAAGACTGGCGCTTAGCATGATCGGCAATGAAGGATAATCGAACCTCGACAGCATCGGAAATTTCCTTTGCTCGAGCGTTCGCGGCCTCAGCATCGGCTCGGTAGAGGGCCACGACCGCCTCTACCTCGGCCATCACTTTATCCGCCTTAGATTGAATGACTGGTACCTGATTCTTATGAAGCATCATGCTATGGCACTTCGAAACTACATCTATGTGAAATGTCCAGTGACAAACTTTCGAAGAACTTTACAATATTGGGAACCATGCATAGACTCAGCTTCTGTCATCACGCAAATCGTCTTGTCACATGTATAGATACCAGTTGCTAGATACACAACAGTAATTCGATGCATGGATATTCTAATGTGGGCGGGTAAATAGTATTGATTGCATAGGTAGGGAAAGTAAATAGTGTAGGTATGGGTATTTAAGGGTAAATAGTTTGAATTTAATGGGTATAAAGTGAGATTTTCCCTTCAAAAAAAGCTAATGGACATTCCGGCTACAGTATACAATTCCTCCACTACTTACAAAAGGAGGTAAGGTCACTTCTCCCTAGCATTAGCCCCAAAATGTAGCTTTTACTCTCAAGAATATCGTCCTTTTTCAACCTTTACACCTGTTTCCTGAACTAAAAAGCAGTTGCGCTAATGTTGTTTCCCTATTCTTTATTTAAGAGCATTTCTTAAACGCCCATCTCTATACTCCACTACCACTACAGAAACATGTAAAAAAGAAAGTAACAGAGGAATAATGTCTACTAGTTTGAAACACTTCAAACAAACATAGAAAATCTATAGCAATGGATTCTACTCTTTGATTTTCTCGTTGCTTTAACTTTTTGTTTTCCACATTGGATTTTGTCGAAGTCTAGTCAATCTATTTGCAGAATAGATAAACTCGAAACTACTCCTTAACCTGTAAACATTAAATGACAATGTTCTACTCTTGCCCGGAGAGAATGATTATATTATCAAAAGGCAAGGTTCTATTGGCGCTTAGTTTCAACCCAAGCAAAAGAACAAAAATAATCCATGTAAAGCACAACGGAAGAAATCAAGTCGAAAAGATGGAAAAACTCTATGGTGCATCTTGATTTTTCACTTGCATTGTTGGTGGAAGACAGGAAAAGTTCCTTTGCTCCAAAGCTTCCCACCTCCCACCGGTAACAGGTCTATCCACCGAGGCTTTGTTAGATGGGAAGAAATCACCTAGAGTTTTTTGCCTCCGCTGGGATTTCAACCTAAGACCGCATGATTCTCATCCACTTCATTAACCACTAGGCCACACCTTTGGGTGCATGGTAAGTTGGACTCCTGTGAGAAAATTGAATTAGATGCTTGAGAGGTAAGATGCGTGTCTGTAGTAACATGAATTAGACAATTTCCAATTTCGATCTTTGCTTTAATTTGTTAGAGTTTATTTTGTGTCTTAGTGCCACTCCAGTCCATCCAATTACCGTAGATGATATTATTTTGTTAAGTGCTTGCTGATTTGCTTATGCTACTTCAATATCATTATTCATTTCTAGATCCGGAGCCTCTTCGTAGAGATCCTCAGACATCAGCAAGAACTGCTCATATTGCTCAAAGTATAGGTATAAAGTTGTCTTCACTGGACTTCGGCTCGTGAACTAAAGACACAGGAAGAACTGGGTAATCTCAACGCAAAACATGAGGAATGAATCATGGGATTTTACTGAATTTTTCTGTCTCCAATATATGCACTAGCTGGTGTTACAGTCCCTATATCCTTAAGTGGGAACCAACCTCACTTTCAAGTGCCGTGGAGATATAATTATCGTCTTCACCGGTTTTGAACATAATGTAAAGTCTTGATGGTTTGTTAACGTTGCTCCAAAACGCACACGCAAGTATACATGGCCGTTCAAGTAATAAAATGATAAGTCGAGTGTCGAACTGACAGAGACTTGTATTAACTACCCTCCAACTTCACCAAGATTGTTATTCAGTAGAGTCAATCCGAGTTTGAAAGTGTGATTATACTAAATAATAATTCTAACTAGTAACAAAATTATCAAACAACAAAGTGGCTATTGTGTATTCAGTTTAGACAAATATTCCAGGGTTGTGATCGATTCACTAATCCTATTGTGCTCTCGTCAGCTCTCCCTTTCATATAATTCAGTCATGGTTGCTAATTAATCAAATAATTTCTCTCGTAGCCTTCTCCTAAAGTACTAACCACCTATTCAAAATAGATTAACGTCTATATTCCTATGAAATGAGTCTATTAAAAACACATTAAGATTACGATATTTAATTAAGCACAGTGACTAGGTATATTCCTATCCTAACCACAAATCTTCCCCCCCCCCCTCCCCCCCTCCCCCCCTAGACTTAAGATCATGCTCTGTTCAATTTTTCTCTAATCTAAACATGGCTTTCCCAAGCATAGCATAGATGTAAATAGAACCTAACTGCTGGCATTAATCACAGAACTGAAGAAAACACCATATATTGGTGAATTATAATAAAGGTTAAGTCAATGTTAAACAACAATATTCGTGGCTAGATAAAAACCCAGAACTATGGGTTTTAGTCACTCATGATAGTATCAAACAATTTCATAAGTGTTGGATAATTGAAAATACTAAGAAAAGATGAAGAAAATTGAGATCTCCTCACTCCTGAATGTTTCTGGTGTATATTTTCTCTTCAAAGTGGCGTCTCCCCCCCTCAAAATAGGCTTTGGCTTACTTTTATACGTGTTGGGTAGGTCTTGGGCTAAAATAACCTTGTCCCGAACAAAGTTGGAGAAGTTTCCCGTCACCAACGCCCAAGGTAGCGTGGGGCACTGGCCCTAGCGCTAGTAAATTGAGCATTTTGTAAACGGCGCCGCAGGTGGCGTAGGGCGCTGCTTGTGGCACCGGAGTTCAACATTTTCTTATTTTTCTCCGTTTTGGCTCTAATCTCGCACCTTTCGCCTCCTCTTGTCTCCGGATGATTTCTACATATAAAAACACCACGAATTAACATAAATCATTACATTTTACATCCGAAATCCACAAAACACGAGTAAAACATGAGGCGATATACATATAAATATATACTTTAAGCTAAATATCAATACCCCCACACTTAGACACTTACTCGTCCTCGAGCAATGGTACTATCAACTACACCCCAACTATGTACGCATCTCAACTAGAGAGGAGCACTTCAATTTTTAACCATACACTCTACCCTTGATTATGATTGATATCGGCAATCAAGCATAAACATACAAAATTCACATTTTTTCCATTTTAAACATGCCCAAGTATAAAAATTTCAATTCAATCAATTCAAAAAAAAGACTATCTGTAACCACCCTACCTCAAGAGCCGACTCATTACCAGTAAGTACCCTCAACTTGCGCACTCACCCAACAAGAGAAGTTTACAACATTACCAATCCTTTCTGAGATCATGTGCCCTCACCATTCAACTATGCCTTTAAACATAATATAGAATATCCACACATTCGAGTATGCCTTTGAACATAATTTAAGGACATTACACAATTGAACCAAATTCGCTCACTCTCACAAAGAATTCGTGTGCATCCCGTGGTCGTACCATAAGCTTGCTCGTAGTGTACATCTCTACCAATCTAAGCTAGTCAAATCTAGGATCAATTAGGACTTTAAGGTTGCAATGTAGGCTAAGGGACGGGTAGGATACATTTAAGAATAATGACTAACCCTCCTAAGCCTTTTAATACACTACATTCACAAATCGAGCACATATTCTTCTCAACCAATTCACTTGCCACAACCTGTCACGACCCGGAATTCCCACCATCAGGAGCGTGATGGCGCCTAACATTGCACTCGCTAGGCAAGCCAACGTTAGAGTTTTATTCACCTCTTTCCTTTACATTTCATAAATTAAAATTAACAAAACTAAATCAAGTTGAAATAAATACGGAAGTACGTAAAATAACTTGTTATCTATATACTATTAACAATATCATAATTGTTACTACCTAGAATCTGGTGTCACAATCCACGAACATACTATGAATTACTACAAATATCGATCTGAAAGAAATTAAATCCGTTTAAAACGAAAGAAAAATAGAAATGTAGAAATGTAGAAGGGGACGCCAGGGCCTGCGGACACCAACAGGGCTACCTTGGGTCTCCAAACTGTGAACCTGCAGCCAAACTCTCAATCAGCCACTACCTGCTCCGAAATCTACACAGAAAGTGCAGAGTGCAGTATCAGTACAACCGACCCCATGTACTGGTAAGTGCAAAGCCTAACCTCGACGAGGTAGTGACGAGGCTACGGTGGGGCAATTATAATATAACCTTCATACAGTATATAATTAAGCGACAAAGAAGTACGGGACAAAATGAAACAGTAACTTGCAGCAAAAATGAATACGGAACTCAAATATCTTATCAGTACCCAGCTACAACCAATCCTTAAGTGAGATACAAAACTGCAGAATAAATTCAAAGCAGAAGAAGGATACATAAACAATAAACTGATGCGGCACGCATCCCGATCCCACCATATAATCAGTAACAATATGAACATTCACCCTTATTACTCCGCATCAATCCACCCTTATTCCTCCTGTTGCGGCGTGCAACCCGATCCTACCGTACAATAACAATCCACCCTTATTACTCCGCATTATATCACCCTTATTCCTCATGTTGTGGTACGCAACCCAATCCCACCAGATAGTCACATTTCATCCTTATTCCTCCTCAATATATCACCTGTATTCCTCTTGTTGCGGTGTGCAACCCGATCCCACCATATCAGTATCAATCACACAATAAGCACACAATTTGACTCAAGCTCCTCATGGTATTTAATCTCAACTAAAACAAACGAAAAACGGTAAAATTATGAAACTTCACTCGAATTATGTTACTCAGCGAAACCAATCCAAAGCATACTAATAAACATTGATAGCCAGCTCAAACCAATAATACGAACAGTTAAACCACGTAATATCCAATACTTTTGACAACGAAAACAACATCCGACAAGTAGCAACTAAACATGGAAATATCAAATAAACAGGTAGCAGTTAAGGCAGGGAACAATATATTAAGAACGGGAAGGGAACAGTCAAAAACAGATAAATTGGCGGTGCATAGGTACTCGTCACCTCACCTATACGCCATACACATGGATTTTCACATAGCAATTAAGTCGGAGATCTCTAATCCCTCGAGTCAAAGTTAGACACAACACTTACCTCGATCTACATGCCACTCACTGCTCAGTTACCGCTTTTCCTCTAGTTTCCACCTCCGAACCACTCGTATCTAGTCATAATTAACTCAATAACATCAAATATCGCTAAATAAATCAATTCCAATACATAATTATAAGTTTCCCAACATTTCCCCCAAAAAGTCAAAAACCGACCCCGGTCCCGCTTGGTCAAAACTCGAGGTTCAGACCAAAACCCATTCGCCCCCGAGCCCTAATATGTAATTATTTTTGGAATCCGACCCCAAATCGAGGTCTAAATCCCCAAATTTGCAAAATCACCAATTCTCCCAGAATCCCTAATTTTCTACCCTTAGGAACAAAATTTAGGACTAGTAATCTAGTGGGTGTTGATGGAAATTGAAGAAAATGAGTCAAAGAACACAATCATAAGATTTGGTATTGAATTCCCTCTTCAAAAATCGCCCTAGGTTGAGTTCTAATGGAAGATATATGAAATTTTGAACCATTCTTGTTTTGAAGTCTGTTTTTAAAACAATGGACAGGTCTTCTTCGCGTTCGCGAGAAGCCTATCGCGATCGCGAAGCTACGGCCCTGATGGCCTACGCGTTCATGAGTTACCCTACACGTTCGTGAAGGCATACTGCCCCCAGCCTCCGCATTCGCGAGCCAAGTGTCGCGTTCGCGTAGAGTAATCTTCCCCTCCCGAGGTCCCAATGCTTCGCATTCGCGATAGCCTGGTCGCGTTCGCGAAGGGTAATGCCCCCAACGCTCCGCGTTTGCGACCAGTACTTTGTGTTCGCGTAGAAGGAATTCTCCTACAGGCCAACTTACTCCTCACGTTCGCGAGAGTCCCTTCGCGAACGCGAAGAAGAAGATACCAGATGACAGCTGGAGCCCAAAACACCAGATTTTTCTAGTCTATAACATCTCGTAGCCTATCCGAAACTCATCCGAGCCCTTAGGGCTCCAAACCAAACATGCACACAAGTCTAAAACAACATACAAACTTGCTCGCGTGATCAAATCGCTAAAATAACACCTAGAACTACGAATTTAGCACCAAATTGCATGTAATTTTCAAGAATGTTTTAAAACTTCTATTTTCTCAGCCAAAGGTCCGAATCACGTCAAATCAGTCCCATTTCTCACCAAATTTCACAGATAAGGTATAAATATCATAACGGACCTGTACCGAGCTCCGCAACCAAAATACGGACCCGGTACCAACAAGATCAAATATTAACCAAATTCATAAAACCATTATAATTTCAGTCTTTCAATTTTATTAAAAAATTCATTTCTCGGGCTAGGGACCTTGGAATTCGTTTTCGGGCATACACCCAGGTCCCATATTTTACTACGGACCAACGGCCAAGTCCGATTACCCAAAACGTTGACCGAAGTCAACTAAAATCAACTTTTTAGGCCAAAAATTATTATTTCATCAATTTTCCACATAAAAGCTTTCTGGAAACACGGCCGGACTGCGCACGCAAATTGAGGAAGAATAAAATGAGGTTTTTAAGGCCTAGAACACGAAATCGAGTTCTAAAACATAAGATGACCTTTCGGGTTATCACACAACCCATATACAACAGTCATTTTTCAGTTAAGCACCTCTATACTCTCACTAGCACGAATTAGTAAGATTAGGAGGTGTGTGTTTTTTTACATCATTTGAACTATCATTTTTTTCTTGAAATCTTTTTCTTTTTCTCTCTCTATTTTCTACACAC